GGAGAAATCATTTTACAGACAAGTGATGAAAATTGATAAGATAGTATTTTAATCGAATGAAAAACTAAAAGATCAAAAGTATTTATTTAGATTCATTGTAGTAATTCTTATGGTACGGTATCATGTACGAAGTTGACTTCGATCTTCAAATATCGAATCTACGTGAAGAAGCATATCTCAGTGTTGGAAACGTTGGTCGTGTACAAGTGTCACGTATTGTCATCTTGGATGGCGTTCGTCAATTACTGATTAATAGGTCAATGCGTGATCGTCTACATCTCGATGTTGATATTGGTCATATGTCATTGTGTAACATTGGACCAGGCAATTTAGATTTCGTACCGAATCCTAATCTTTATCAATCATTACAAGATGTTGTTCTACGTCAATATCGAGGTGATCAATGGCAAGGCTACTACTATGTCACTCCAATATTCGTACCAGATCTTCCATGGGATATTGTACTTGGATCTAATCATTTTCATCGACTTGGTGTAGAGTGGAATAGTGAGATAAAACAGTTAGTACCATTGACAACTTCACGTCCTGTTTTTCGTCGGCTTGTCTTTCCATCTAGACATGAAAGGATAGCAACTCAAGACTTTCTTCGACAATTACTATAAACAAAAGATTATTTCTAGTATTACCAGTTCATTCTTCCTATATGATTGACTTAGCTTATGATTTCTCATTTTGATACTATATATTGTCTTGTTTTTTTCTGTGCTATTGTGAAATATACAGATACATACTCTTAACAACTATTTGTCTATAGTTCATATCTAACGCTTACAACACTGACTATTTTATAAATATTTCACTAGGAATAAATCCTGCAATTACGAAGTTCTTTTTATAAGGTACACTATGAAATGGTTAATAATAGCTAAAGTGAAAAATCTCTTGATATGTAACAGTGGTGTCGAGGGGACAAAGATAACATATGTTAACATTCTGTACTTTATCGCACCAACAATGACACATATGTTCTAGAAGACAAATATACTAAAAATCAATATACATGTACAAAAACTCATTGCTGTATACGGTAACGCAGATAAAATGATTCTTTTGATATTCGAACATCGTCGAAAAGAATAAAAATTTTGACGAATAGGATTGACTTTTAAACATAGAAAGAAAACAAATTGTGATGAATATGCCAAATTACGGCATATTAACATATGTTAGTTTTTGTTTTTTCTAAGAAATTGTTGAATTTAATCACCTTAACATATACGCAAAATCGACAAAGTTATTTTTATCTCTATATCTTTTTGAATAATGAGATATTTTTCGTAATACTTCTGTTTTACCATTAAAAAAATTATGTCACTAACTCAAAAATTCCTGTAAACCACCTCATGGCTTTGCATTCTTAAATAAAGTCATAGTTTTTAAGATTTATTATCAATAAAATATATGTGTAACATATTGGATATCGCAATTATTTTGACGCATCCGGCATACATATATATTTGTTTGATTGGAATCAACTTCTGTTTACAAAATACTCTTATAGTCTAAAAAGAAATGTATTTGCAAATTCTTCTATAGTTTTATATTTTGAGCGAAGAAGTATTGAAAGTAAAAATGAGTTTGTATCTACTCATGTAAGTACGAAAAAATTACCCTGTTCTCTGAAAAATAATTAAGAAATAATCGAAATAATATGATTTCTGCGCAAATTGCCATAGATACTCGAACATATTCTTTCTCTATATATTTTCTGGTTAATTATCTCTTTTTCTCTATCGAACGATGATAAAATTCTATTCAGAATATGAATCATTATGATATTCTTCACAATAATGTGTGATAAGAGTTAATATTTTTGTAACATTTTATTCAAATAATAGTTACTTACTTTGGAACTTGTAAAAATGATCGTTATTGTATACCGTTTATGTATGTTTTCCCAAAGGTTGTTGTTTCTTTTAGTGAAGAAAGTAAAATTATTAGGTCACTTTTCTTACTTCGTTTATATTTCTTTTTTTCTTTTATCTCTAAACTAAACGTGTTACGGATTTATCATTCCTCCAGAATTATATGCGCGTTTATGTTCATTTTCTTTTCTCTTCTGTTATTATGTGTATGTCTTTTGTTCTTCTTCATGATTGGAATTTATTTATTCTTTCGTTTTTTTTCATCTAACTATACGATATTCATTTGTTTTCTAAGGTCATATTGACTATAATCATTTCTGATATTATTATGTAGAGATATCTCTGGTTACATATTTCATATTATCTCATACTATTATCGAGGATAAGGATGAGGCTGGGATTGGTGTCGCTCTTTCCCTTACACCCACACCGTAGAGCATTATTATACTTTCAACAAGTTGTTGATATTGAACATGAAATGGCTCAAAATTGTAAAAGAGAGATTATATATAATAGAGCACAAACAATGTTAAAATATTTGTCATTTTCTGTATTCAAAACTTTTTTAGGCATTTCTTCGAAAAATATTAAAAAGCAAAAGGATCAGAATACATCTTGTGATAAATGGAATAAACTTATTACACAATATTCTGTATGTGAACGCGTTATTGTTGTAGATTATTCCATTGTACTAATAGCTGTTTTTTGTTTCGCTGCAAACAAACGTGGTCTATAATTCGAAACAACTGTTGCTGCTGCAAGATTAGCTAAATTTCCTGCTGTCAAATAATCTTGTCCATGTGTAATGCCAAACAGAAATATCATTTGCTCCATTATAGTATCGATTGCATGTAATTTATGAGGTTCAATATTGTATAGTTGTATACCATCATAGGCTAATGCACCTTCTGCCCCAAGAGTAATTACAAATGTACGAGCAATTATTTTTAATTTATCAATGGCGATTTCAATATTGTCTGTTTGAGACCAACTAAATACTTCATTTCAATTACAGAAGAACAAATCAATTGGCTTCTTCAATATTTCATATAAACGATCAGAAAAACTCATTGTTTTCTTTCCATTATGAAGTTTCGCTATTTCACGTATACGAATACCAGCAGCAAAAGAAGGTAAAAACATGATTGTATGAGTTTCAAAATAAACATAATCTGAAGCAGTGTTAATTCCTGGTAGAATATCATATTCTGATTGTGTTGCATTAACATCGACCAAGAAATGTACAAAAGAGTACGTTCAGCATCTAGAGTTAACATGAATATAAACATGATTTTAGTTTAGATATGATTCATTGTGAATGGGAGACGTAATTCACTCTTTTTACGGTCAAAATAAATATTAGATAAATTTTTGCATCATTCAATATTTGCTCTACATAGTCTATTATTGATATATCACCTATTATGAATATGAACAATGACATTAGGATATTATTCGTTATGAATAATCACATTCATACTATTCTTTTTGCAATGAAATATTCATTTGTTTTTTTTATTTATACTGACGTTACAACATTTACATTTATTTAAAGATCATATTTTGGGATAAAAATATCGAATAAAATGAGAATTTTGGTAAAATATGTTTGTTTTACTCTAATAATGATATTCATACCATCACGTTCGAGATGGCTGAACTTGATTTGAAGGTCGCCATCGAAATAATCGTTCTCTTACAGTTTGACGAAAACGACTTGATGAAATCAAAAATGTATAAAAATCTGCCTAAAAATAATCAAAAATAATTCTTTTTCAAATACTTTAATGAAGTCTTAACAAACCGCGAAATATATCGATGCTATAAGATTGATCAGCAATGAAGCACAATATTCTTGTAATTGTTGTTCTTGACTTTTAATAACTCCAGTTGTAATCAATCCATATGTATTAAGTACACCAAGAGGAGTATTAGAAATGATAATTAATATGATTTGTAGAAGACCCATTTTTACCACTTGTCGATAAGCTTGTTGTTCAGCAAGAACTGTTGTTTGACGAATATTACCATAAGTTACATATCCAAACATCATTGTTATTGTTATTGAAATTACACTAATAAGAAAAATGAAAAATATTGGAATATAAATAGTAAATATACGTAGAATTGCTCGAAGCACATGTACCAGTAATTGGTGAAATAGCCACATTAAAATAAGCAATAAGCGAATGAAGAAACCAGATAATGCTAGTATTCAATACAATTTGATATACTCGTTGAATTTTACTAATTTGACGTAACGAAGGATTAGAAGACGTAACAAAAAATTGATCCATTGTAGCTAAACATGTACAAGTAACAGTTATTGTGCTTGATAGAGTGAATAAAACTTGTCTTAATCTACACCAGATCAATGATGTGCGTCTTAAATCAAATTCAAAATAAAAGGTAACTACATGAAGTAAAAGATTAGTTGTTAAAAAGACAATTTTAGCCATTGATTCGACTAGAAAATAGAATGTAGCAGGTGATATACGATAAGAACAAACACTTGAGAATATGAAAATGTTCGTTCCATTACCAAAAATACCAATAATAAGCAAAAATAAACCAACATAAATGGTTAATTGTTGACTAAGGCATACTAATGACATAGCAGTTGTCTACAAATTCTATGAAACTTATACATTTTATATTCTACTCATAAATCAATGGATACGATGACGTTTGAGAATCAATAAGGAAAAGTTGATGTGATGTAAAGAATTCTATCACAGGAAACGAAACAGATTCACTCTAGTGTAGACTCAAATTTGCAAATGGATCCCCAGGTCGATCATTACGACGATCGTAAACGGCCGTAACCGACAGAAATACGACCGTATACGGGTCGTAAATCATCCGTTTGGTGTGGACCGTATCACGGTCGTATGACTCCGTGTCGTATACGACGAAAAATGAACATCGTTTACACTGAAACCTGTGCCGTAACACGGCCGTATTCTGACGAACACGACAGTATACAGCGACGTTTACTGTCGTATTTCTACGTAACCCACCGTCTCAAATCGCAGCTTCGCGTAGATTTTTTTTGATTTCTTACGATTTCTTTTTGAGAAGATTTGATTTCTG